TGCCAACCTTGTGGCAATATGCGTCAATAAAAGACATTAGCTTTGATACTCCTCCCCTGGGTGCTGTTGATATCTTGTCTCTATACTGATCTCAGTGACGCCATCCGCAGTCATTGGGTATCCAACCCAAAGGCTTGTTCTGGTAAGGAGTGCGACGGGATACCAGTAGGCCTGATACCAGAATGGCCTTGACATTCATCCTCGGTGTGCTCGTGACATCTTGTATGTATTCTACTCAATTACTCGCTGGGTGTGTGTGTGTAATCTGAGCTCCTGCTGTCCAGGTCTATTACAGTGACAAGTTACTCATAATAGAGATGACATGGTAATGGCTACAAGAAATGCAACTGTTTCAAATTGGCCCAATGGGTATTGCTATCGATGCTGATAAATAGCCGTTCTTGTTTTCAATCAAGGCGCTCATTGATCTCTGGGAACATTCATCCAACCTGGCTATTTATGACCTTCTCTGACTACCGCAGATATCATCTTAGATTGGATTTCTAAAGTGAGAAGTTGATCTGTTGGGACTTTCCGAGCTGATCATCGTTTAGAGCATTGCTTCTTAAAGTGTGGGTCGCGACCCCATATGGGGTCCTACAAGTGAACAGGGTGGTCGCGATCTGAGTCCCCGGCCAGGACCGCCATCATTGTGTGAGGGGCCCAGATGGCCGGGGAGGCCTGGGCTCCAAGCAAGACTTTTTAAAATTTTCATTTAATGTGCAGTGTAGTGTAGTTTTTAAGGTCGCATACCCCCCCCCTCCCCTCCCCCACTGGGGTCCCCTAAAAATTTCCTCGGCCAAAAAGGGGTCACGAGTGGAGAAAGTTTAAGAAGGCCTAGTTTAGAGGACATGGTAGTGACATTGACATTGGCTGGTCAATCACAGCGCTTAGAGGGGAACACACAATTTTTGGGATTTTGACTCCCTGCCCATCAGAAAAGTATTCAACATACTTCCCCCTCCCCATTGGGGGTCCAGCCCCATGCGCAAGGGCTGACCGTGGGTGGCCTTAGTGAGTCCTATCAGGTAAGTTTGGCCTATCAATAGCAGACAACCCTTGCTGGGCCTGGGCCGCCATGCTGACCCCATGTTCTGCTAATGTCACACCTCCTCCCATCAGCTGCCACTGTGAAATGTTCCCCAGCCCCTGGCTTGTGGGAAAGAGCATACACAAGGACACGTTGCCCTCAGTCAGAAGATGGCCACCTCCAAGTGAAGCCGCCTGTGTCGGAACCTCTACCACAGCTTCCTGGCCTTGGTGGATACGGTGTGCTTCAAATGTGACAGTGTGTTCTGGAAAGTAAACAAGGGGGTCCCAAAGTTGGGACATCTGCCATCGCTTCCTGGCCTTGGTGCATACGGTGTGCTTCAATTGTGACAGTGTGGTCTGGAGGAGAGACAAGGGGGTCCGAAAGTCAGGGACCTCTCCCATCGCTTCCTGGCCTTGTTGGATACATTGTGCTTCAACTGTGACAGCGTATTCTGCAAAGGAAACAAGGATGTCCCAAAGTCGGGACCTCTCCCACCGATTCCTGGCCTTGGTGGACATGGTGCCCTTCAATTGTGACAGCATACGCTGGAGGGGAGACAAGGGGGTCCCAAAGTCGGGACCTCTCCCACCGTTTCCTGGCCTTGGTGGATATGGTGTGCTTCAACGATGACAGTGTGCTCTGGAGGGGAGACAAGGGGCTCCGAAAGGGCTTTCGAGCTGTTCAAAGGGCTCTGAAAAGGAGCGGCAAGTGGGTCTTCTACCCCACCAACAACAGCACGAAGACCCGCGCCATGTACTCCGACAAGCTGGGCCGCCTGGGCTTCTCCGCCGAGCCCGGGGACGTGTTCGGGACGGCCTACTGCACGGCGCTCTACCTGCGGGACACGGCTCGGCTCCGGGGGGGGGTCTACCTGGT